ATTAATATGCACGTTGGGTAAAGGCAAAACCCGTTATATAAATATATAAATCTGCTACAGTAAAAGTCATAGTTTGTACTTTGTCCCTGGACAATATTTATTGTTTTATGATACAACCACCAACTTGATTCCAATATCTGTGATACTCATAGGAGGACGGGAGCAAGCCTTGTGGAAAGCCTTTCTTCAGGCTGCAAGAAAGGAAGAAACTGAACGAATACATGTAGGCTAGAAAAGTCAGCATGGGGCTTTGGCTGTCCATATTTCTATCATCGTTGTCACTGAATCCAATAAATGTTTTCCAACTTGTTAAATGTCAGTAGCCTTTCTGGGCCATTGTATAAAGACAAATGGTAACGGTTGGCAAACAGGCGATATGATTTACAACTCAAGGCTGAGACATTTCATCCCTGTTTGTTGTGCCAAAGAAGTACATCACGTGTGGGGCATATTCAGTCTCATGTTTTTTTTTTCAGGTTGAAGAAGAGAAGGAACTATTTGTGAATTTTCCTCTTGTTGTTGAAGAATCACTTGAGCCAAGTAAAAAAAGGCGACCTGATCTGGTTTTTGTTTCATAGAAATGGGAGGATGGGATTTCATTTTAATTTTCACCCCATGGTGGCCAGCAGTAGCTTCTTAATATTCAAAATTTCTAATATTATTTCTGTTCAAAATGACTGCTGAAACTATCTTCCACCAATAATCCACACATGTTCTATTTCAAATAGGCATGCCGGTATGTTCTTTTCAACTGAGTTTTCACGCTAAAAAAATGAACAAAGATTTTTTTGTGAAAATAGAGATGGGAGGGGGGAAACAAAAAACAGTAAACAAAGGATGTGGCCTCAAAAGTCTAGAGGCAGGAATGATCAACCAGTATTTTTTTTTCTTGGCCTTATTTATTGGTTCTAGCCAGGCCCCTGGTTGGTAATGTGAAGGAGACTGCCTTGAGGCCATCTCAACTGCAGACAACCAGCTATCACTTACAGCCAGTCAAATTACCCGACCAGCCTTCATTACTAGGTCTTCACAGCTAATATACACACTCAGAACTGTCCCATTAGTTGACCTTTACTTGACCCCAAGTGACCTCCAGTGACGCACTTGACACGAGGAGGGGTCACAACCTGGCGGGAGAAACTAATGGAGGGATCCCTTCAATTTGCGGAGAAAATACATTCAGGGACAGCTCCTAATATGGGAAACTTGCCTTTGCTGTAGCCAGTGAACAGTGCACGCGAGCGCACACATGTGCAGGCTTGCAGTGTGTACCATGCACACCGACGCCCAGAGTGTTTAGTTTCGGTTGGTACTACGTACAGCAATGCTAGGTATGCAGTGGTCATTGCAAGATTACCGATGATAGAGTGCTGGGGAATTAAAGGTGCAAAGTGACCGGATAGAAAACAATTTTTAACTCTGCTCCAATTTAAAAGCTACATGTAAGCATCGCAACCATTTTTTTACACAAGAAAAAAAAATAAACAGAGGATGGAAACATGATGAAAGTGGGGACATGGAGGCCAATTCTTATTTTCTTTGGAGGTCCAAAATGTTTGAAGACACTGTGTTGGGCATTTAATTTAAGGCTCCATCCCATGTGTGGACGACACCCACATGCACATCTACTGTTCGAATACTGTGTACAAAGGAATCGTTACAAATGTAGCTGTAGAGACAATGACAGAAAAGGCCCGTTATTTTTGACAAAAAGTCAGATTTTAAAATTAATTACAGCTTTGCAATCTGTTGCACATGCTATGGAGTTTTATTTCAGTGCAATGTGCATTCGTGATGCATACATGTTCATGAAGAAGGTATCTAAACAACAGGGAATGTCAAACACAACATCCCAGAAAAACACAGGATTTTAGAAAGATTGAAAAGCAACACCTGCAGTGCGTAACCCTCAAGAAACCAAACGCATACTTTACAAAGGTACACACATACATGCCCATGTACCAGTACATGTACATTTAATATTTGCATGAGTCATTAACTTTCACAGCAGGATGCCGAAGAAAAATCTGCAGTGTTTCACTGACTTTCAACGAGAAAAGTGCTGAATCACAGATGGAGGCGTGGCATTCCTGGACCCTTAAAACCTTGCACACAGATGCCAGTGCATGCATGTAAAGAGAGACACAGGTGTCTATGTTCATACTAAGTTGCAATAGAATCTGTCACTACTCCCCTGTACTGGTACATGGCAAGGATCACAATGGTGTGTTCCTCCCCTGTGTGTCCCTTCCCCCAGCAGTGATAAAGTTTTGAAAATGGCCATATTTAGGAGAAAGTACCAGGCAATTTCTCATTAATCTATAAATGGGTTAATTAACACCTGTACTTTTTTTTGCCCCTTCCCTTCCATTTCTGTGCCCTGGTGTTGCACACCAGTGAGTGAAAAAGGTCTCTGAAACACTGGTACACTGTGGAGGAATACAAATCCAATGCTTACAAGACACTGGACCACTCTATAAATCTGGGGTCCAAAAGGGTGACCCTTCTGTGTCCTGTGTCCTGGACTCCGCACTATTCTTATTCCTTTGTCAGGTCATTTGCGGTACCTAATCACTCTTGAAAATCAAAGAATGCGTTCTAAATTTGAATCACACACTGTTTCAGATATGCAAGGGACACGCACAAAATCCAACCCAAACTTTGTTGAAAGCCTATACAATCATAGTTACAATTTCTATGCATGCTTTGATGAAGAAGTGCTGTGTTAAGATGCCAAAGTGCAGCGATCTCAATCTGTGATAACCTATTTCTGACCTCCTGCTCTGGGAGCCAACATATGCTACATGTAGCTGTGCAATGATGCAGTAAGATTATCTGCTGGCTGGTGACTTCTCAGGACAGGTGAGGTTGCCATGGTGAGGGACAGCTGTTTGATGTCTTAACCAGAGATTCAAACAGATAGGAAGTACTATAACATCCCTACAAGTACTTGTTCATGTACATGTACATGACGTGTACATTGTACATGCCTATGAAGGAAATCAACAAATCATACATGTACATGTATATTAGTACAGTGTGAAGGTGTGATGATATTTATCGAAACTGCCCATCATATTTGATGCCAAACCCACCGACTCTTTCAAACTGTTTTTGTACATAGAGTAACTTCTCCCCCTTTTCTAAACTTCTGGGCAGAAAATGCCCCGTTCGCAGCAAAGTTTAAACCAAACTATGTCTAAGGTAGCAGCATGCATTAACAAGTCATTTTGTGGATGGCATTCGTTTGCTTGGCAAATCCTGGGGGTTCACAAATAACGCATGGCAGGTAGAGAGTGTAGCTCCTAGACCCTGCCTGAAGCAACACCTGACATTAATTCCGACTGTGAGGGGGAACCATGTTCATGAGCAAATCTAACTGTCTGATGACCAGTCAATTTTACAACCTCTACCTGGTAAGATGCAAGCTGAATACGGTACCGTGGTCAATATTTAAGAGGCTTGTTAAAGTTGTACTTGATCTCATTGTTTTTCCCGATGAAATCCCAATGAAGTTGAAATTTCATTGGGATGGTGAGAATGTTTCAAAACTTTCCTTCACTGCCATTTTTTCTTCACTGCTGTCTATCCGTTAGCACAGTATGGTAATGTGGTTTATTTTCCATTTGTGATTTCATAATGTATGAGGAATAAAAAAACAAGGGCAATAAGAACACTCGGACAAATCAAAGTCAGCTTACAGAATGTGACGGAGCTAGGGCATCGTACATTATACCAGACTTAATCAACTTTCCCTTGACCCTCCTCCAGGCCTAGACATCTGGACACATGAGCCCCATTCTACTAGATGACGAACATCGCATGACAGTTATGACATCGTGAATGCTCGGTGGTGTGACAAGTTCCATTCAGGCCGGGGCATTAATAAAACTAGAGCACGGGTCAATGGGGGGGGGGAAGGATATCTCCTGAATGCAAACCGCACTTGCCACTAGCAGAGACCCCTCCCCCAGAAACAGCCAAAGTTCAGGAAAATATCTCGAGTGTCGAGCGAGGCGAGAGGAAATTACTTTGTTCTCTTGGAGATTGCTTGAGATATCAACTTATTCTGTGGTGTGCACACTGTGTGCCTGCAGGACATCTGCTCAGACTCGGAGCAAAATGTGGCCACAGGCTTCATGTATAAAATGGTGCTAGCTTCAATCATCAGCCACAATTCCTCACATCAAATTTAAAACTTGTGACACACTGGTTCCGAACCAGGAATCCATAGGCTTCACATTTCTGCACTAAAAATTCATTGGAAGCTGTCCTCAGACTATGTGAATGCTAGGAATATGTACCTGTATGGTACACAAGTTATCACGGCATACATGTATCAAGTTATGGCCTCATATTTGATCCCTAGGCATACTGGTGACACTTTCAAACAAATCTGCTAGGCACTTCCCAAAATGTGAACACAATCTTCATTCAGTATGCAAAGCCTCCATTCCTACGGAGAAAACTGGGCCGTGGATTCCCACGCATGCAGGGGGTCAATGGATCCAGCGTGCACGATTCAATGCCACAAGAAAGTTCAAGATTTTTAAGGTACCCGGTAGGGTGCTCACAGCCAGCGAAGATGTGTCACTGGATCCATCCACTCAGTCCTCCTACCTGGTGCCGTACACGTATCAGCGCCATACTTTGATTGAGAATTTCAATAATGCTTTTCAAACGACTACAGTAGCGCCAATGTACAGTGCATGCTAGCACACAGGCACATCACATTCAAACAAGTTCATTTTCAACTGTTCATTGCTAACACTTCTCACAGTGCATGAGTATATTACAAGTGTGCCTATGCATGAACTAATGGAGTCAAATCATTGCGACGTAAGCCAACTTACAGGGCCAACTGTTCTTTTAATACCCAAACATGAGTCACATGAGCACCTTCCAGATGAAATTGTTCACCTACATGTACAAGAGTTTGAACACTGTGCATTCACTGACAGAGCTACAGTGTAGTCTTTCAAGCCTGCAGCAAGTTTCCAAATGTCACGACAGGATGGATATTGCTTTCCTGCAGTAAAACATTCTGTACAGATGATCAGCTTTAAAGCACCTTTCTTCAGTCCAGGGCCAGGCAATACCAGCTGTGGTGTACTAATTACGGGTGACCAACTTCTGAGATCTGTTGGTTTTTTTTACCTTTCTGCTAAGGGAACTCAGTCAGGCACAGATCACAACTAACAGTGCAATCCACAAATGTCCCCCTTGTGACGTACAAGCATGTGTTCATGTATTCTTGAGTATAACTGCATTATGATCAATCAGAAAAACCTTGGTGGCCGATGGTCACTTCCAGATGACGAATAACCAGTTCACAGAGATCAGATACATGTAGTATGAACCCGCAGAGCCAACAGATTTTCTGCTATAAATGTGTCCGTCTTCCATTTACATGTACCGATTCATGACATCTTCAATTCTGCTTTCAATCACTTGAGCAGCATCCGAAAATCTGTTTTATGCTTCACTTGTTGCAAGGATTTAAAAGACTTTAACTTTGCAAATGTTGCAGTCCTAACTTATAAATTTGTAAAATATACACGTACATGTAAAAGTGATGATTTGTACTTCTTCAGAGCACTGTATCACTACAATGATGCGGCTTAGTCCAGGTCTGGGATAAAGGGTACATATGGGGCTGAGGAAGGGACAATTTTTCCCCTGCCAAATTGTTTCAAATAAGAACAGGAAAAGGATGCTGCCAGTAATAGAAAGCATTAGCGCTTCTCACCCTTAAAAAACAATTTGTGAAATGCCAACAATATAGGGGTGACTTGGTGGAACATTAAAGAGTGCACCTGTTCCTCCCCCATCCCCTCATTACAGGGCATACACTAAAACAAATAACCCCAAACAGGCTCAATACAACTAGTACAGTAGCCACATGTACTCCAAGCCATACAGTACAATACCTCATAGGAATTAGTTGTTCCATTGTGATCATCAGCTTTCTTGGCAATGTCCTCATTGTAATCTGTGTTGGTTTTGACATTGGCTGTAGCATTGGCGGTGTCCTCATCCTGCATGTACATGTAGAAACAGAAGGGAAAAACAACAAAACTCATCACTATCATGGACTATCCACTCCCAGCAGGAACAAAAGAGGGCGGTTTTTAAATGAAATTGACAGTCCTTTGGTATGAACTTATCGCACAGGCGCCCAAGTTTGTATGCATTTGGCACAGGGCACGCTGAGTACGCACAACAAATTCATACTGGAACGTATGGTCTTTGCGTGCAAGCTGAATGGGTGCAAGAATTGAACTTGGTTGGGAAACTTCTTCGTACCAATCTGTCTTTCCTTTACCGGTGAGGATGCACTTCAACTTGGAGCAGATACAGTACAGTATATGTAACACTCAAACTAAACTGACTCAGTCCAAAAAATAAATAAATAAATAAATATAACACAAAGTCATCTTTCACAAAATAATTAAAGTTCATCCCCAACTGGCCTGCAGTCACTATTGAAAAGGGACAGTAGGGATGTTGGAAATGGCGGATCTTTTAAGAGATAAATTCTTTACTGAACAACATGCATCACACATGTACATATGAATCAACCTTACAAAACATTTGTGAATCACAAGCATACATGTGCAATACATCAGCACACTTCAAAGTGGACAACATTCTCTGTCATTTCTTGAAAAATGATGATTTTCAAATCTGACAATGCACTATCTACATGTACATGTATGTACTGTAAAAACCCCATTACAAACCGCATTAAATGCAATGAAAATCTCACAATTTTGAAAAGAGGTGAAAATTTCTCCCTTAATTTTCTCCCCCAATGTACATGTAGATGAAAAGCCTGATTTCCATATCAACATAAGAAAACACAATCAATATGCAAACTGCAAAACATGTCAAATGGAAGTATCGCCGATAACCCAGTTACCGCTACACAAACTAACCCCAGATGGATCAGTAAAGTTGAGCCCGTTTCAACTTTATCGACTGTGTGCGTTGAATCGCTGAGTAGGCCTATACAAACACACACGCTGGCATACATGTACAATGATGTTCCTCTCGCTTAGTACCACTCATTTTGTTGATTTTCTCCTTATTACAAGCATATGCAGCCATAATCATGAACAAAATAGCTGACAATTAACAAATTACATCAAACTGGAGTATCAGTTTACATGTAGCTTCAAGAGGTGACACTGCTACCTAAGAAGGTTTTTTTTTTTTTTCAAAAAGTTCCATGTTTCGCATGCCATTTTGATTTATTTTTTGGGTGGAATGACGTTACGCACAGGATCTCTTCCACGACTGTCTGCGTCTTGACATCTTGCGGGCCGTCGGAGTTTGTTACGACCGTATGGAAACCAGGCTTCAGTTAAAATGGGTACAGATGAACTGCTTACAATTATAAATCCATTCTGATGCATGTGCGGTGGATACATGTACTGTAGTGCATGCACCTGTTTGTGGAAATAACTTTGTGGGGTTTTCTGACATACAATTTGCCCTCCACAAGTCAATCAGCGGCTGCTCAAGGTGTACGGCTACAAGAAAAGAAATACCAGTACAGAGAAAAAGGTGATGAGGGGAAATAAAGGTGTGCTATCGTATGCTCCATGTGGAAGACGTTTATTCGAATAGCTCTTGAACCGGGATATGTTTTTAAGCATCCAGAAAAAAGGATGAAGACCAAGAGTTCCAGAGAACATTGACAAGAGACTTGGAACTGGCTTTGGGGGTTGTGATGTATGGATGTTGATCAGATGGAGGAGAAAAGGGTTCATCTAACAGTACTATTGTGAGAAGTAATGGAGCACATTCCATGATGATAATAGAAGATAGAGAGTGAAGACACAGCGTGATGATGTGAGAGGGGTTGCAGAGAAGCTACAGACTCATGAGCCACCAATCTAACATCGCATCGCTGTATCCCATCAAGCAAAGACATATTTCCGTCTATGCACAGTACAGGTTCATACATGTCCATGTCTAAGACTTGCACAGTATTTTGGGCAGGTTCCCCTCTGACAAAAACTCCAAGACAGTCACAATGCTACATGTACCATAAATGAACAACTGAAGCTTGCATGTACACATTACACACAAAGAAGGCTTGCACTGCACAGATTTCTTTTCTTCTTTGCATGAAAGCTGACATACAACATCACAAAAAATTACCCGGATCTTGATTCTTGTTTTATTATTAGACAATTACACATAGAGGTACATGTGCCCCTGTGTTATGTCAATAATCCAGGAACTGTTAGGGGTGGCTTAGCCTGGGCCCAGATGGTGAACAATGTGCATGGGGGTACATTGTATCACTGTCACGACAGGACTTACTCCCAAGGACCTCACCATTGTCAGACCAAGGGGTCTATTTACTCAAAGGCCTCTGGCGTGACTGCTGCTTGCATTAGTGGTAGGCACATAGTGTAAAAAGATGAAGGTACGAGTACCAAAAAAAAAGAGAGAGGATACTGAGCACAGAGCATGGATAGAGAACAAGATAAACGATGTGTCATGCACATCATAAATTTTCATGTCATCCTAAATTTGGGAACAAGGTACCGGTAGTTCTTGATCACTGAAGTAAGAAGGACTTGATGATGACACAGTTGTTTATGTGTGTTCCAACTTCGAGATTAGTTGAAAAATAATAGGATCAAAGAATGCCAGAGCTTGTATTATGTGCACTGTTATTCAGATGTGTTCAATGTAACTCAATGTGTTCAATTCATTTTACAAGTGGGTTTACCAAAGACAGACTTCGTAAATATTTGCAAAATGCTTAGACATGTAAATGAGCTAACAAGATTCAGAAAATTCTGTTGCTACCAGGTACAATTTGATTTGCTTTAACCATGTTTTGTGAAATACACACAGAACACCTGACACAATATACATGTAACAATATTAACCCTAACAATCCTCAATCCTCCAACAGGAGAAGGATTGGGGACTGTTAGGGTTAAACTTAAAGATGACACTCCACCATGCCTTAATGAATATGTTTACATGAAATCTGAACTCTCCGTACCAGTTTGTGGGAATGACATCCTTTGTTGCCATATTATGCAGAGGTACTGAAGCTAGAGAATTTACTTTCATACATTTGCATATACATGTATGTATTGCTCAAGTTTCTTTTTTTCAGAAAAGCTTTCTTTTCCATAAAAGTCTGTAAAACCTTTTCCTCATGTTGAAGTAAGAGCAGTGAATAAAATTTACACAACTGCTTTTCTTTTCCTAGTTTGTTTTCCTATTGAAGGAAAGAGAGACTTTGTAAAAAAAAAAAAAAAAGAATCAATCAACAGCATTAACTTAGGGCAGTCACAAAAGGAAGAATTTTAAAAATTAAAGAGGTCAGTCTTTGAAATCTGCTCTTTCAACTGAATGACTGGTAGTGTCCCTGGAAATATTTGGCCCTTTGTTCTCCAAACACTGGTATGCCAACCCTTTGTCAGCAAGGTCATTGGGCAACTGCCCCATTGCCTTCTGTTGTGGACGTCCTCATTTGCCTATTCTACCCTATGAGTACATTTCAATCATACCACACATTGTCTTCACATTGAGTGGCATACCCCATACATGTATGTCCCAGGCTCACAGACATCATCACCACAACTATTACATGAGACAATCTGTTATGTATTACCAATCTTTATACCTCTTTTGCAACAATGCAAAAATCCTGTATGATTCATTATACATGTATTTCGTAATTCTGATAGGAAAGCTTTGGGATATTGCAGATCTTTCTGATTAAACGAAACATTGGTTCTGTTTGTGTACTTATGTGAGGAACTAGTGAGTGTGATAATTCTAATTTTGTAACCTGTGGGGTAAATGTACAGGCTCTCTTAAACTGGTGATAACAGAGGAAATGAACTTGCATTTTGGAAGGGGGAACTGTCAAAGTCCAGGATCAGGGGAAGTGATTGATGCTATTTAAAAATACAAAATGTAACCCAACCAAGAACAAAATGAGTCACAATCGTCAGAGCCACTTCTGAGAAAAGGTAAAAAATGAATCCTGCCCAATGTGAACTCTCGACAAATACTATATCCTAAACTTTTTTATCCATATGATGTACATGCATAAATTTTGATCAGGATGACAAATTCAGCAAGATACAATGTACATCAAAAGAAAGAACTCAGTTTACTTCTGACGCAGCTAGAGAACAAAATTACTGAAAAAACATCTTGAGACTCAGTTTGTAGGATCGAGTTTTAAGCAAACATAACATTCATGCGGAGTGCATTTGACAGCTACTTTATTATTAAAAAATTCAGAAGTACTACAAATTAATTATGTAGCCTACATGTATACATTATGTACATGTACAACAAACTCCTAGGAGAGTTCACTGATGCTCCTTCACTCAGGGCTCTCCACCCTGTGACAAGCCTTCCCCTCACAACGACTTTCTGCAACCTCAATCCTGGACAGTGTTTGGTGTGGCTCTAATTGAAAATCCAGAAAACTGGCCCAGCCCGAAGGGATTGTCGCAGTGAAAGCACTGAATATGCTCTCAAACATAAAGGCCTCTCAACATTCGTGAGGATTCTGTTCATTTTTTGGTATCACAAAGCTCTTTGAAGTAAAAGTGGCTCGTTCATGTAGACCCCAAGGTGTGTGTAACAATGGGCCTATCAGGAATAATGATTACTTTTTTTGATGGTACTGATTCTTGTCTAGAGCAATGAATATTTCCACTTCTGTCCAATGTTTCATTATTCTTCCATTGGTGATCCACTCTGTACACCAGGGTGTGGGTCTTTATTTTAAATAGGGGGCCAAATGTGTGACAAGGAGGTCAAAATTTCAAAGTAGTCTAAACAAATTCAAAACTTATTGATATGTAATTGATATACATACATGCAATAAATGTAAATGATTTTTGCTCTGAATAACTATATGTACTTGACGTGTACGGACTCATTTTGTGCAGTGGTACAGGAAATCATTTGACGTGTAACAGAGAAACTAAATATGATGGTTCAATGCATGTCATTTTTGGTTAGTAAAGGTTTCTTTTCAACTGTTGCCGATTTAGTTTTGTGTGGACATACCATATATTCTCATCACAAGTTGTTTTTCTAGATAGGGTTTCAGGTGGCATAAAAATGGGCAAACAGCTTCCCCCATAATTCACTTTTTGGCTTTTTTAAAAATTATTTTGCACAGTTTCATTTGGTTTAACACAAAGTTGCTTAAATAGCAAATATATGGCACAGCTCGTAGGTATGTATGTCATTCAGCTTGTGCACCTATGCTAGAAACATGAAGTGTTTTGAAGATTTTAGTTTAAAGAGCTTTATGACTCATTTCATATGTAACAGAGAAACCGGTTTCTGTTACACATGGGAAAACTGTCACAATACAAACATTAATTTACACTGGGAATTGCATTAGACTCAGCCTTCAGCTATTGACTGGAACACATTTCAAAAAAAAAACACCAAAACATTGATTTGTCATCTGATGAGAGCAAATTTGTGGGAGAAGACCTTTGTGCAACCTCATATACCTACACATACACACATCCTGCTGGAAAAGTCCTCATCCAACATGATGTGTTCTCAGTGATCGACCCCAAGATCTGGTGACTCATGATCAGGAAGTCCCACAGAAGAGGAATGGCCAAGGTTATAAATAGCACTTCTAGGAGTCAATTTGCTCAGAAAAGTACCTGTATTTCCAGACTTTAACAGGCTTTTATGGCAACCATGATTTCTTTTTTTGGATGATCTTAAAAACTTTACACAAAAGTACATGTAGTATACTGGGGGAGCTTGGACTCAATGTACCGTACATGTACAATATAATGCAGCAACATTGTGTGCCACGGATTACAACTTCCCCCATTACAGGTACATGTACACAAAGTTTTGCCACAGTTCACAGCCAAGCATGTGGGTGCGTACACGTTGAACAATAGTAGACAACAGGATCTGAGACTGGCTAAACATCCACAAATGACAATCATGTGTGTTTATACCAGTACATGTACATGTATGCGCCAGTATGTAGACAAAAATGAGGCCTTTCCAAAAAGTTCAAGGACAAACAGATAGAGACAAACAGGGTGGCTGCAACTGCAGGTGTTTACAAAGATTTCTTTTTTTTAAGAATATGTGCATGCAAGCTTGATTTTTTAACATAACGGTACATGTACATGTACATGACGGCAGATTTTCCACGGAAATACCAATTAAATAACCCATAAATATACAACTGCTGTCCCCTCAGCTTTGCTCCAGTTTTATCCCTTCTCGTCCACACCCACTAACACAGCTGTCCTTGTCTCATTAACCACACAAATATTGTAAGGAAACGCAATTTTACGGTAGGTAATCCGACATGAACTGACAGAACATGGTGATTTCCCAAAGTTCATCTCCTGTCTCCAGCTTCTGGCTTCAGTCTTATAAATTTAGCCCCCCTTCCCCGAGTTACATTAGTTGAAGTTCCATCATCTGAAACTGTGTGTGTGTCACATGTACGTACATGTGTACATGTACACTGAGCCCTAAGCCCAGTTCTTTTGGGTTAGATGCAAGTCCTCAGCCATTCAAAATCCTCCAATACTGGTACCTCCAGGTATAAATTTGACACAGCCTGAAAACTTCTCTCTTTTTTCAATTTCTTGAATGTGTTCCTACCCGTAGAGGGAGTGATCACTGCTTCAGCCCTTTCAAGTGCTCTTGTAAGTCTTCCTATAATCCTGTTGAGGGAGTGCGAATGATGTTCCCAACCAATGGAGATAATTTCCAATGTAATCAAGGCCTGAATTTATGCATTGCTGAGCATAAACAACGTGAGGTCCCACCCAAGACCTAGACAAAAAGCATCTTTCAAAGTCCGCTCCACATTTTTACCACAAAAACCTCAATTCTCTAATGCTGCAAGTTGAAGGGGTGATTCAAGAGAACTGAGGATGGTTACCTAGGGTTAGTGTGGTATGAGATTGCTGTCTGAGGAATTTTGGTTCTGACAGTTAAAAAGAGGTTGAAGATACAACAAAGACTGAATTCCCATTGGTAATCCTGCAATGGCAGCCCACACCAGCTTAAGAACAGATCAAATCAGAGAAACAAACTGTAATTCTCCACTTGACCTGAAGTTTCTAATTGTACAAAATGAAATCTTTTAAAATCATTCAGTCCATCATCCTGTACCAGTAGTCAGATTTCTTGAGTGCTACAACAAGGAACAAACCCTCATACAAGGCACTGTCCATACTGAGGATATTCTTAAAGAACAGGATGGAGAACTTGGTTACAATACACATGTACATGTAGTTTCTGCAACATTCCAAAAGAAGTCAGGACTTCATTTCATGAACAATACATGAATTCATGTACACAGACTTTACGTCACATCCCCCGTCCCAGAACTTAGAAAGGACTCCGTGAAGGAAGGCAGGTGTGTACACAGCATTTACATACTGGGTACTGTAGGCTCTCAAAATCTCACCATATAATGGTAAAGTTTCTGTTAAAATCAAAACAGGTCAAAGTTGTGGGGGCATTTTGCAACATTTCTGGTCTCCACAAAATTGGTGCTATGACTAGCATACGAGTACATGTATGTCCCAGAACAAGTATGTGAACGGATATTGTGCACAAATCTCAATGCCACTCAACAATGGCACATACATATACATATACATAACATGAACAAAGATGAATCTACATGTACTACATGTACATGTTTTGATGTACCTGTGTACACTGTATTGACAAGCATACATGTATATGTATATGTATGATGTACATGTGGCTGGCTTCAAAGTAACAGCTTATGGGTTAAATGCTTTTTGGTAAGCAAAAGACTGATTAGGGACAACAGGTGGAATCAGTGCATCAAATTGAGTTTTATCAAGAGAACAGGCTGAAGTCATAAGATGCAGCATGGCTCAATTCAATCTCTATAATTTACAGTCAGTTTACAGTTACAGTCTGTAAGTTTATGTAGATGTCTTGCAAATTCTGGCAAGTAACAATGATGTTGCCTTTAGAGATGAATGGGTTATGAACAATGAGCTTCAGCAATCACAGCTGCTGCATGTGACTGCCCATTTTCCACTATTATTCATTGTTAACATTAAGATTGTGCAATGTCAATAATAAACAGATACACATTACAATACATCATGTCATTTAGAACATGACAAAATGCCCCCTCCCTTCCCATGCTACATGTAAATAAGCATTCAAAGCAAAACTTTTCTTTGAAGAAGCTAACCCGCCATAACATCAATAACTTCCCAAAACAGCCAAAGCCTAGACTAGGACCAGACCTCAAACTAGTAAAGACAGAGATCGGAAATCAACTCTTGTTACAACAAAGTTGCAAGGACCAGACAAGTTACTTTGCCATAACCTGGTCTTTGTTATACAACAAGATTATAAACAAAGAAAAGTGCAAGAATTCAAGAAACTGGGATTCGAAAAATTGACTTTTTATAGCCAGGGCCAAACATTAATAGTAGGCATTGGTTGGCCTTGGATTTTGTTATTGGGCCTAACACTACCACTGACTAGTAAAGGGTTCTTTATATCGAGTCCACTATAATTTGCATCTGTATTACTTCATGCACCCACCTGTAGTACAACCACTCCTGTACCCCGTCTTTTTTCCCTTTTTCTGTGAGCAAACCTGCCGCCTTTGGAACCGTCTGCGCTTTTCTTGTCCTTTCCCGCTCTTCGACCGGCCCCAGCGCCTCCCCCGCCTGCCGCACCGTGACTGTCTGCGTCCGCTTCCCCAGGCGACCCGGTGTCTGCCGCCATGGCAGCCGCTCGTTCTCTCCGCCGGGCCGCCACTCTGCTCTCGCTGCCTACTTCCAGCTTGGACGAAGACCCAGGCGTGTCTAGGTCGTCTGCTTCGCCGTTGTTCTCGGGGCTGAGCCTCTCACGCCGTCTGGCTCTGTAATCCGCCATCTTGTCATCAAAGTTTTCCCCTGTTGCGCTTCAGAATCAGATTTCAAAGTTCAGAGCTTTGAATTGATTGAAGTACACAGAACCCGCCCCTGCTGCTGCATAAGATGCATTACAAATCAGCAGTTACACACAAACTCGCCCCAGAGTTGAACTCCCGCAGATTTCCAACTCAGAAGGTCAACATTTTCTCCATGAAAATCCACGAATTGTCATCAGTTCGTCACCACAGCTCAACTTCAAGGTGACTGTGATATCGTAACAGGAAATTTTCCAACCGTTTTGTGGTGGAAAAATTATCTGTGGCGGGCTGGTGCAAACACGTCTTTCTAGACGTCTCTTGAACATCGGCGTAAACTCGATTCGTGTCGCAGTCCATCCGAAAGAAACGAGGAGTCAGTACAGTTTGTATAACTCGTACTCGTTGGCGCCCTGTGCCACAGTTCAATGCGTTTTTCGTTGCAGTTGGACTTCTAAGTTTAAGTCTTGTAATGTGTTCGGGAAATATTCGGGTTCTCAATAAAACCTAAGATTAATCTGCAATCAACAAAAAATAAGTGACATTTTTTCCCGAAACGGATATACACGGAAACCTGCATGCATGGAATGTCTGGCTTTTGTTGTTATTGTTTACATAAAGTTACCACCAAGGCATTCTGGAATTTTGTTATGCTGTGTCATGTCCGCCTCCGAAGAGCCTCACAAAAAAAAAAACAAAAAAGGGACCTTTTTCATGCTTCATAAATACTTTTTATTTAAATCCTATGTGCAGAAACATGTTTACCACATGTTTACAATATTATTCACAATCAAAGTGAACTTTTTGAAAAATGTCTGAAGCAATGTCGTTTAATTAAACTCTAATTCTATTAAAACTTAATTTTTTACATATTTGTTTTAGCATTCCCTTTAAAAAAATGAGAAGCTATGACAAAGCCGAATTCTCGGCATTCACAAAGCAACATACAGACGTGCATTGGGCCTAATGCCTTTTCAACTAGTCACTATATTTAGCAATTTTTATCAATCATGTTTGGCAGGGTTTCTTACGAACATTGACACCTATTTGAGCCAAGGACATGGAGACGAAGATAAATCCCTGGTGTAACTTTTCAAAAGTACCCAGTAACGTCACGAAGAGCGGTGGGAATTCAACGTGATATAGTAAAGGTATATCAATGGCAGCCCCCGATGCACCAACCAAGCGCTCAACTTGGTGACGTCAGAGCGCCTAGTGCGCGCGTATCTTGCTCCCCTCTACTTCTGTTTCCCCTTGTATGTGACACATTCGGAGAACGATACGAGGATATAATAAATGACGTCACGGACAGAGACACCAACTGATTGGAAGGCTGGGTAAATAAACTTTGTACGCAAAAATGTTTTGAATAATGCGAATATGCACAACGAGCAAGGTCTAACTCACAACGCATTTTCGAATAAAGGCGTTTCTTTTCTGTTCGCGCGCATGTGACCTCAGTAATCTTTATTTCACAAATGTTTACCACTGAAAATGCCTAATAGGCCTACCCATGAAGAGACATTGAATTATGCAATTCCAGCATCCTGGTATAATGGCGATGACATTATGATGGCGCTTAAGACGCGTGGCCAAGTCCCCCCCCCTCTCAGCCACGCACTCTTTTATCTACCGAACTTTCAATCTGCACCTACGATTAAGTTCAAGGAGAACACCAATACAGCAGCAGGCCGGTATCAGTTCCGTCTTGGAATGTCGATCCAGATGGCGGGTGGGAGTGCACAAAGCACGAACGTGCCATGTTTTCAGGAGGCCGCGGTGCATTTCAAAACGATTTAGCAACTGCATTATTTTCGGCCGATAAAAACAGCCCAAAAGCCGACGAGACTCGCACGCACATCCCTGAGTGCTCTGTGAAGTTAATTATATCTACACTTTAAACCAAAAATGTGTCATAACCAACCGAGGAGACGTTTCCGTGAAGTTTGCAACCAGTTTCGATTGTCGAAATTAACTCAATGATATGGCCTAGTTTTATTGCTTTTTAATACACAAGTGTATCACACTCGCGTGCGCGTAAGTTTCATCTTGATAAGCGCGTGCATTAAATAAGTAACAACATCCTATTGGTTGAAGAGGAATGTAACGCGCGCGTGCCACCTGCCCACGAGCATACCGCAGTAATGGTTTTCTAAGTAATCCTGGTGGCCGAATTAATAATAGAGTGATGGTGGAGGAAAGAGACAGTATCATTATGAAAAAAAGACCGATTTTAGTCCGGGGATGGATAAGTATCTCCCAGGCTCACCCCTCTTGTAAATGGAGTAAAGACAAACTGCGAGTACCAAACGTAACCGTTTGAAATTTGTTAGGCCTATATTTATGTGAGAGGAACCGGTGATGCCACGGGAATTACATTGGTAACCCTGCCAGGTCTATTTTTTGTCCAGGGTGCGTTTCAAAGTTGAAGCGGTTTTAAACTATTAATGCAATATATACTCAAACAACATAGTTCGTTTTCCTTACGGTTCGTCTAAATAAAAATCAAGCCGAGATAGGCCCCCCATAATTCTATCTATTTTATCATTCACAGCCTGAGAGAAAAGTCACAGTATTCACATTGTGCATATAAAGGTTACAAATTTTGGTTCGGTAGCCTACACAGTTTCTTATTCAACGTTCTTCAGGCAGTAAGTAACAAATAAGTAAGTAACAAATCAACAATGTTTGCCTTTCATCTTGGTTGGTAGATAATGGTTCTTCCCCCAAACCGTGACGTATATGTATGCTACTATACAGCAAAGCTGCTAAAATTAAATTTTAGAGGGCGCTCTTTCAATTCTACGGTGATCGTGGTACCGGTAATAATATTTATCCCTCTCACGTCTGTGTTTGGGCTAATTAAGGACGGCCTTAATACAGCCGAGGAATAGATAAATGTTCAAACTGCGTACAAGCGTCTGTGACATCATGTTTGGGTCAAAGTGATGTATTTATTTAGAATTACACTTGTTCGACTTTCTACTACTCTTAAAATGCACGAGAATACTTTGACAGCCTTTTGTTTTTGGTTGATTTGAATGAATGAAACACTGTCCCGGTCCATGCTTTCCCCAAGAAAATAGTGAGGGCACTATTGTTGGACTTTTCTCTGACAGACTCTGTTCATTTTGTTTTCGTCAAAATGTGAACCCAAAATTTGCTCGTTAAAAATATTGATGACAATTTCACTGGATATGAGAATATTATGAAAAAAAAATCGCCGAAGTGCGTCGTAGGTATGATGTTTAAGTAATTTCCAAAACTTTCTTTCTGACTGCTGCCAAATTACATACAAGGAATTTGTGAAAAAAAACTGGAGAAAAGTTTGGTCAATAATTATTTAATTAAATGTACACTGTAAGCTTTATTCGAATGCATACTCATCTTATTTTACAGAACTTTTGGTAATCTCCCAGTAGTCTCTAAAATTCAAAAGTGTGAACATTCACTCAACCCGAATGAAACTACGGACAATTCGAAGAACATTTGAGTGAAAATCTTGTTTCTAAATAGATCGAGTTTTTCAACATTTTCTTCTATTCCACTCTAAATTCAGAGAGAGTTTCACTCTAAAACGTTTGATTCCTAGTTTCATTTTTTTCAGATTTAGAGAGTGAATGATACAGAGGGCGCACCTGGCCTCCTTTTTTCCCTGCCTTCTGTTCTCAACATGGTTATATAATCACCTTAAAGGCAACGTTTTTTCATCAAGATGAGAAATATATGTCCTGCTCGCCTGTTCGGGCTTTACCTCCAATATCTGCCCCCCCCCGTGATCCCCACCAGTGTAATGCTCGGTGTTACCAGACAATCTGGTATCGCAGTTACCAAACGTTCTATCAGTCTGCTCAAATTAATTTTAAATGGTGGCCCGCGATGCAGTGTTATCAACAGATGGTAAATCAAGACTACAAATTGGCGTTTCTTTCAAGCCATAAACATCATGCAGCAATATATTCCTGAATTTCTGAAGCATGGGTCAATGGACCAGCCCTTGACGTCAAGGGAATAAATCAATAACAGTAATTTCTTCCAGCGTGTACCGCAGAACTTGACGTTTAATCGGGGAGTTTGGGCGGTAGAGCTCACTACTTTGGATCCTGCTGTAAACTAGAAACCTGGGGGGGGGTGACATTAATGCGGAGGTACAACGCTAGTGGGCAGGTGGCACACACGCGTTACTTGCCTCTTCGACCAATAGGGTGTCGTGATTTGCCAACTGCAAGAGTGGTGTCACCCATTTTTAGCTCTATGGTGTCACCGCAGTTACGGCGTCACAAAATGCAGTAGCACAACGCTCGCTTGCAGGCGTTACGCGCGCATTTAACTTTGCTGGGACCAATGCACCTTGAGCAGAAGCACTCCCATCGATTGATAAAAAGCCAAGTTGGCGAGGAGCGTTCACCTTGTTGGTAGCCATACGACCGTAACGTACGCATTTTATTGTCCTTTGTGAACCACCGAAGTGCAGTTTCCACCGAGCCTCCGTTTCTAGAACAAATTGCGCCCTCTCCTACTCCGCTCGAGGCGGATAGGATGTTGTATGACTTGCTAAACTGCGTGCTCAACTTGAAGGATGCGCGAAAACACCACAATACCAAAGTAATCGGCGTCTCTTGGGATAAGTCTCGATTTAAAATAAATAAATTTATCCTAGATACCCGACTTATCTAAATATCGATGGGGTTTCTAATGCATTTAAGTACCAAAATTCAAGAAACAAGGAATTCATTTCTGTCATATTACAAACATTTTATTTTAAAGCTGCAAATTTCCATGTCTTATCTACCTAAAATGTTATTAATATTTTTTTTCTACAAGGAAACCAACATACATGATTGAGAAACAGTTCATATAATTTGGTATGTCGAAACAAACTTTTTTAGTAATAACAGTCAATGGGCCTATATATGCTGATGAATGTGCATCCCCGAATGAAGCCACTTGCCCAAAACAAACGAAAAAAAAGTATGGAAACAAGCAATCTATGGTCTCAAAGGTAAAAGGTCACGCAAGAATACTAAGCGCACTGGATCGGCCATGAATGCTTTCTGCATTACCTAATTATAATGTAGGAGCTGGATACTTTTCCCACGTTGAAACCAAAATATTTGTGACATCAGTGTTATTTAGTACATCACTGACGTCCAGTTCAGGCAAGAAATGAATTAACAGTCCATGGACTGATCACAGGCCCAAATTTTGTGAGTGATGGTTGTATACAATAATTTAATAAATTAAATCACATTACTTAATTAAACACTGTTTGAATACTTGAAGCCCAATTTACAATATTTAAGATTGTTCTCCAACAAATCAACTCGAGAAATTACGCTAAGGCACACAAGTGTTCAGAGATTTTGTTTAATGTGAAAAGAAAAAGAAAATTTCTTTGAGCTTTGTGGCCATGTCTGGCTACTTTTCTTGTTATTTTTCTTGTTTGTTTTCTAATAACAAACTATCATGTTGCACTAGAGGTAAACCCTAGTCCTCAGCCAAATATGTCTTATTAATATACAGTTTTTCTTCTACGGCAACAGTTCAGTTTCTTTCACACTAACATACATAATCATCATGCCATGTATCTACATCGTTCAATGTGTGGGTAACATCGATTTAACGAGGGCCATTCAAAATGCAGTAAAACCTCAGCAGATACCAGTCTGAAACATAGTAACATTACGGAACATTTACGGAATTGGGCAGTAAATGTCCTACACAACAATAAAGGAAACTCGACTTTGGACTACTGTGAATTGTTTTCTGGATTTTGAGTTGGCAATGAAAGTGAAGTTTAATCTCTTTTACAAGATTCCTCAAGTTTACGTCTCAGATTCAACAGCAGTTAGTCCTTTACACTTTTGAAGAGTCTGGTACCCTTATGCAGACAATGGATGTATGCTGGACATGTGAAGTGTCCCAGACCATTCGCATGGGATTCTAGGCAGAAATTCAGGATGATCTGCACAAAAAGTCAAGAGGTGGATATTTCCCTATGGTACCGGGATGGCTAGAATACTTGGGACAATCACATAAGTCTGCGTTAGGCCCAGGAACAAAACCTACAAACGTGAAAATGTAGCTTCCATTTGAGATAGTAACACACCTTGCTGTCATTTTGCTTATGGTGTGAGCGCACTGGGATGTCAGCATTCAGTGTCTGTTTGAATCAGAGGATGTTTAACCAATCGCACATTTAATCTTCCCCTCCTTACTTATGTAACAGCAGTGGAGCACTACATGCTGGTAAATCCGCAATGAAAAAAACAAAACAACGTAACTGGCTTGATCACACCAATTTGAGAAAGTACTGGAATGGCTAATTTAACCGATTTTTAGTTTTTACAATCAATGCTCAAACAGTGGAAGCTAATTTCCATGTGTCAACAACACTCTACCACAGTATTTTTTTTTAAACATCAATCGTTTATATTATTAGCTCACACCACAGCAGGAATATTTGTGTAAGTTTTACTCAAAAAGCACTACTCATAATACCCAAAGAAAGTGACTTCAAACAGCCCTCAATGTATAAATTGAAACAAACCTACCCAAGAAAAGTCCTCAAACAGTCGTCTGCTGATGCGGACTGCAGGAAAAGCAGACGGCCGTTTCATGCAGTTTTCTACATACCCCTCAAAACATCTGCCCACTTCCAAGTTATTGATTGTTTCTTCAGAACTCGACTATTGGTAATCAACACTCTGACATGGCAATCCAAAGTCTGTATTAAGGAAAAAATTCAGCTGGTATTCTAGAATAGTATTCACAATATTACAACATGTCCCTTCCATGTTCCAAAAACACTCAACGAAAGGACTTTTAACATTCTAACTCAACAACTGTATTTAAATTTCTTGTCGCTTGTACATAGAGTTGTTCCACTCGATCATTATTTATCTGAAACTTTAAGTTGTTACTGACGTCCAGTCTACAATAAATAAATATGGTAAAAAATACAGACTCAATTACACTGGTAACTGGTGTCATTAATAAGTATTTTTGTGCATGCAAATCATAATTACTAGAGATTTTCTTGGTTGGAAGACACAAAGCATGGCCACAAAAAAGAGAAATGCAATTATTTATGCTCTGCTCTTTGTTAATGCCTAGTGGTACTGATGCACATTTTAATGCACTTGTTATTAGCGAGATTGAGAAATGTTGTAAGCTGTCACTCTATTCAAGCAGCCATCACAGCAACAGACATGATGAAATGAAAGACATGTGCTTAAATCTGCAATGTCAACATATAAATGAGAAAATCAAGAAAAAAATAAGCTTTTCAATTCAACAGCTCAATTAACGGAGCTATTCGTCAGAGAAAAATGTCCAAAGATTATTGACCAACTGCAACTATGAGTGCCGTGGTTTTAATGGAGGTTGTATGCTATATCTCCCACAGACGTTTTAAGCACATTTAAAACCACCAGTGATCGGCGCCGACTTGGATAAAAATTCCAAGCTCAAGAAAGCCACAGCTGGTGAGTGTGTTCTCGTATCAATGATAAGTACCCAGGTCTTGCCAACAGTTTTGAGTAATGAGTTTTAGAGTGATGCTCAAAAACCTCGGCCAAAGCCTGGAGACTTGGGGGCGTGAGTCTCCAGGAAAGATGCTGGGAAATGAACAGAGAGTTCAAAGATGATCTTAAAGTTGTACGTGAATGACAGCGTGCTGACATGGGACTTTCTAAATGTGTTGGGGGGATAACATTTGGAGATTTTTTGATTTGACACTGAAAGAGTCCAAGCACAGGTTTCCTTCTGCAGAATTTTCAAATTTTGTCTGAAAAACAAAACACCCCCCCCCCAAAAAAACAAGCACATTCAAAAGGAATTAAGAAATGCAGATTTTGTACAAAATGCTGATGGCACATTCTGAAACTTCCAATGTTTGACGGACAAATCTTGTATACTTTTCTATACAGCACAAAATGGGCTCTAGACAGTGCGCTCCTTGAAATCAGGGAATATCAATGCTACACAGCTGGCTTAAGCAGGTTAAAGGTGCTAGTATAAAATAAAACTATTAAATAATAAGCCAATAATAAGCTAACAGGGCCCACAATATTAAACCTATTAAAATACAATCTATTTTTATACAAATATACAAAAAGTACAAAAAGGCAAGGACACGTGCCATACAGCATGAGCTCCAAATGACTTGAAATATGAAATAAAGGAAATGAAGAAATGACATATTTTATTCTGACCAGTGGGCACATAGTTTCAAAAATGTCCTTCTTGGGAAGAAATCTCAGTATTACAAACTGTGAAAACTTACAGACTAAAGTCTACAAAAGACCTCAGCTTCTACACTTGAAAGTTGTTACAACTGAAACCATTCTCTGGACGGATATCGTGCCCAGAATATTCTTCATAATGATTTGAGTTTAGTTTTTCAATCTGGTTTTTTTTTGTCTTCTGCTTGGAGACGTCTCTTGGATTTTCCTTTTCCTGGAGTGCCTTTGCAATCTGAAAGTTCCAGTTACTGGTCAACTATGAAACTTTCACCAGAAAAGAAAGGTCACAGTGACTTTCTAAGAACAAACTGAGCGTAGGGAAATCAACTAGAGTGGACCTACCAAAGATAATTCCTTCAAACCGTTTCTAATTCAACTACAAAAAAATTCTGACAACTTACTGTATCTTGGCGGCATGTGGATTAACAACTACAATAAATAGAATCTATGTTTTGTTAACGAAGATCCAGATGCCATATATTGCACACATGCTAAATACGGTACGTCCCTTACCAACAAAAGTTGATTTTCATTGCCCACTGCAAAATCACAAGGCAAACTCTGGAGGAAAAAAAGTTCAAGATGTTGGCGGAAGAAAGGCACTGAAGGCAGAGTCACTGTGCCGCAGATTCACAAGTTCCATGAAAGCACCGAGTATGAACTGTCCTGCATTTTCTTAACAGCCATGGCTATCCCGCTTCTGCCACCATCTTTCCACTGAGCAATGTCTAGCATGGGCATGGCTATCCCACTTCTGCCATCACTCTTCCACTGAGCAGTGTGTAGCATGGGCTTGGCTATCCCACTTCTGCCACCACTATTCGACTGAGCAGTGTAGCATGTGCATCACAGACGAATCCTTATACCTGGAAAATACTCTACTTGTCATCAGTAAGAGCATCCTGGCACACCGTACAGGAACTGTAATAAGTTACTGGCAACATGCCAATTCTTCCTTTAACTTCTTGAACTTCTAAACCCCATCTCAAAAAATACAATGCACCCCTTAACAGTATTAGTCTACTTGCAATATGGCGTCACCTGAGGTCTTAACACGTTACTCTCCCCTGCCTACAAAAAGGCTAAACATTATTTTTCTGTACAATTTACAAATTAACAGTTGAAAGTTCTTTTAAGTTTCCTGTGACTTTTTTTTTTACTTTTAAAACTCTCCCTCTTAGCATTTTCAGTTTCTTGTGTCACTTGTACATGATTATTTTGTGAAGAGGGTGAGGGGTTATGTACAGGTTACGCTGCTACTGAAAAACTCTACACTAGTGAAATGGAAAGATGGAAAACACAACAGTCAAATTACAAGCTATGACAACTCTTGAGAAACTCATGGAGTAGCTATTAGGCAGTGGAGCAAAACTCTGCATTCCTTTGAGTTGTGACTTAAGTAGTATCAAGGTCTGCTTTAAGCATACTTGAGGCAGCCCTTCGACTCCTAAACTGTCAAACTGCAATGAGTCTGTGATTACAAGGTGGCCAAACATCCTTCTGCATCAAGATGCAAATATGAAGTCAACTCAGAAGAATCTTCAGGGCAGATGCACCCGTCCACTAAACGTACAAAAGGCACGCCCTTTAACAGGATGAAGCCAAATGCAGAAGCTGACAAGAACCACTGAACATGTCAAACAAAACAACTGTAAACTTCATCCCTGGGAAAAACCTTGGGTTTGCGCACTTCATGCATTGGACTTCATGCATCAACTCTGTTTAGAGAGACGGAGGGAATTCTGGGAATATGCTCTATGGTCCATAGGCTCCTTGTTCACTTCTGCTAGTGCTAAGACGAGCATGACTAACCCCATCTAGCTGAGATCCAACTTCCTACAGGAAGAACTCGGAAGGAAGCTGAGCTAGTCTTGAGGGCAGTACTGTCCAGAGTAATCAAGTTTGCTCCACTGCCCAACAAAGAGTACGGGGAAGGCTACATACGCTCGATACAACCTCAATGTCACAGCATCAGAAGATGATGCGGACATTCTGGGGAGGTAGGACCTATGGAAGGCTGCCATTTTCAGGGCAATCTGCAGCACAAATGTGCAGACTGTTTCTATGCAATTTTGCAAGATGATACAGCAACTGTCCGAATAATTCAATGTCTCACCAGTGAAAATCATGTCCCTTCAGTTACAACTTGGCCAAGTGCATCACAAACGGTCTGGGCTTCGTAGGGTTTTTCTTTTTCAGTTAACCGATACATCCTTTGAAGTTGCTTGTCGTTCCAAACTGAACCAAAAAAGAAGGCTCAATTTGCAGAGAACGGTGGACGCTAATGATGCTGTTATAATAGATCTACAAGTGCTTTATTTAATGTTAGATAGGCCATTTAGATGACACTGCATAAAAATATCACATAGGACTTAAACTGAAAATAGACACTTTCTTCAAAAAAAGAGGGAAAACAAAAATCAACCAAAGACATGCTGAACAGTTGAATCTTTTGCCTGCCTCCCAAAAAATGGCAGCCTCTACACGAATCCCTGAACTCACAAGTTTTTGTAAACCACAATCTAGATGGCGCTCACCCTGATTTGCACTACGTCCAAAAGGGCTGAGATGATCCTGCACGCAGATGAGACCTCCACGCACGCTTGCCATTGCAAGTGAGTTGCTTATACACGCTATGTAAATGCCCCTTACATGATTATGATCACCGAGCAGATTGGTGACACACTGCGTTCAGCTTGACCCATTTCGACACAATGGACAAACTGGCGGCCACTCGGCCAAAAGCGTACTACCAATGCCAACCAATGTACCAAACACTGTGTTGAAGATGTTTAATCCCAATCGGGGCGAGGAGGACACAGAGAGAGTTTGCTGTGTAATGTGACGAGTCCCACTGAAAATCGACAATGGCTTCTGTTTTGATTTTGAAAGAACCCCCCCAACTCCAAAATAATTTTGGAAGAGGGGGGCCTCTGAGTTTGTAGTCTTTACTTAAGACAGGTAAGGCAAACTGCGTACATCTAAACGCAGTTATGTGAATAATGGTCATGCATTCACGTGCATGGCAGTGTCTAAGCAATACGCAGCATCAAATCTTCCCAAGCTAGCCTCTACTTTGAACACACACGACCACGGCATCATCTCTAACCCTTTTTCTGGTGATTTTTTTGGGTTTGTTTCTCTCTTTCTCCCCTGGAAGAAATGAAGACATCAAAACGATAAATGAAAACACTACATGACGCTAGCAAGAGAGATTCATCATTTGGACAGCTTGCTTATGACTCGTACTAAAGCTCCATTCTCGTCCTTAAGACGTTGGTTGTCTGCCTTCAGTTGCTCCATAGCCTGAAAAAAAAAAAAAGGGAAGACATTCAGAAAGTTGTTCACAATTTCATTAATGTCATATCATTGCCTTTCTGGGTTTCTGAACTTCAGCAATTGCAAGAAGTCTGGTATCCCAGTAAACTGTGGAAATAGCTGCAAATCTGACGGGTTAATGGCCGCTTCAGCGAAAGTGACCACTCAAAAGTAGACGACTTGATTTGTCCTTTACCTTGAGTTCTTCCTCCAATTCTGAGAGCCTTCTTTCTAGTGCCCTTCTCTCCTGCAATGAGATATGAACAAATATGGAATTAGACTATTCAAATCAGGAGATTAAGGAAACTGACTTCTTTCATTCCAAGCTGTAAAATGCTGTAATTCATCAATCACTTTTGTACAATCTGGAGAGTTGGCTTATACTTACCCTCTTTTCGTTATCAACCGACTTGGTATCGAACCGATCCGATTTCTGCTGGGCCTTCTCCAACTGCATCTTCAGCCCGGCGACCTCGAGGTCACGCTCTTTGACCTGGTCCTGGAGTTTTGTGACCAATGACTGCTGCTCTTCGAACAGCTGGACAAAAGATATACAAATAAAATGTGCATGACTCAAAATGGCATACCAATCAGTATCAAAGGCCATTTTGCACTGTTCTAAACCCCCCCCCCCTTGTGCAGACAAAACCATTTGAAAATTTGGCAGATAAAATCAGACCATAAGCCATTATTTTGTAAAAATGCTGAATACATGCATCAAACCTTTCCTTCACATTAGTTGTGAATGAAATGCATAAAATTCTGCTGAACACCATATTGTGATCTTCTTCGAAAAATCAACTCTTATGCCAACATTTGGCAAATAATTTTTCAGACAGAAATGTGAAAACTTGTTAACAGATGTTAAAGACTTAGGTCAAAAGTAAGAGCTTGAAAATTTTGAACATGCAAAACTCTGTTCATTTTTTTCTTCTTTCGCTCAATCCTATATTCATTTAAAAAACAAAACAAACACCCACACAAAAAGCAAGGCTACCTTTTTGCAGTTCTGACAGGGTGTTCCTGCAGCCGTCTTCTCGTTCTCGCGATCTCGGTCCCTGTCTCTGTCCCGAGTGTAAGAAGACCCTGACCCGGTGCGGCTTGCATAGCGATCAGATAAAGATGGTGTTGAGGAAGTGTCACTGTGTCTGGAAAGAAACGCAAGATTTGTTTTTTCATAAAGTGAAAAGTAAAAACAAACGAATTGGGAAGATGAGAAATAAAAAGGGAAGCGACGACAGGACATGCATGCGGACTTTGATGAAATTTGATGACATTTGAAATTTTAAAAGCATTTGTGCTTCTAGAATTGTAGGAAAACTTACTCCACCATGTGGCTTTTAGGAAAGGAGTGATGTATACCTTTTTCATGTCTCAAATTCCTTTTTGAACGGAGTAAAGTGGCAGTATTACGTTCTGTTCTGCTGTAGGTTTGAATCCCATCTGCTCTAAATAGGGTTTTTCATCCTGTACGCAGACTGAGTAGACATTCTGATAAAAATCTCTCACAAGTTTTGTTTCCACCACTGACAATGAAGATTTATTTTTTCATCTATTCATTCATCTAACAGTTTTCTGCAAGCTTGCAAGAGGGCAACATCGGTATTCTGAAGGAAAACTCGGTTCCGCTTCCAGTAATAGGCAAACACTGATCCTGCATTGGAAGGCAGAGCAACTCCACGTGTTTCCCTCTTTATAACTTTGAAAACAATGCCCATTGTTGAAGGATGAGATTTAGCAAGGAGCGATAATTTGAGCAAGGCGATGAGTGGATAGATTCCTACCTGCTACCTATCGAGCTTGTTGAAAGTGGTCTGCTGTACCGATCTGCAGTCTGCAAAATACAGGGGGAAAAAAGAAATTGAATGAACAATTCTGGTTTGAATTAAATTGGAGGGGAAAAAAATGATTCTGCTGCAATCAAGTCACTTAGAGCACCAACTGCATTATATAAAGGGAAAGAACTCGGCTCGTAAATACCAACTTATAAGCTCAGAAATTTGAACAGCCATCATGCTGAAAATGAGTCCAACAGATTCGAGATTTATTGCTTGAGAAGAAAATAAACAGCATATGAGAAGGGGAAAAAAACCAACATCGTTAACAGTTACGGCAGAAAATGCACATTCAGACATTTATGAAGTGTTGATGGCATAACTGCTTCACTGACACCTCACCGAAAAAGTGGACAATAATATCTGTGGGTTGACAAAGAATGTGTTGTGGATAAGGATGGCTGATGTCACTTTTTAGAAAGATTGATGGATTTAAGCAGCCTGACATTTTTTTCTCATATGGGGTTTGCCGCAACAGTGCATGGCCAACGCATAACCTGAAAGGACCCTTTTAAAGTTTTCATGAAGTGAACGGCAGCAATTTACACAAAGGTCTCCAACTGCAACACAATGGACGTGCTCCTTCACCTCAACAGGTTCATCTGCCTGAACTGCTCACCCCAATTGCTACTGCTGTTAACATGAGACCTCACATTTGGGACATTAGGAAAAGTACACTTACAGGACTGAGTTTTCATGCCTGGCCTACCCGCACGTCACACTTGAACCAAGATAAATTTATCATCCACAACTGGTCATGAATTCTAATTTACCCCGTCCCATTCATCATTGTTCTTGCCTGCTGTCAGAGCCAGGCTTCTCTAGGGGTGAAACCACGGCAACCCATTCCATCTGATACTTCCCATGCAACCGACCCGCCCACCCCAACAAACCCAAGTGCCTTTGCTTCCTATCAAAAACCAATTCTGCTGAGCCCCTTTTGATATAATCTCAGTAAATATCTGCAGTACATCTGACAGAAAAAGGACAAGACAAGGACAATGTTACCACTGACACAAGGCAAATTCCACAGCCTCTGAATTTAGAAGCAGCTGATAATTTACACAGCACACCCTGGATCTACACCTAAACACACGTTCTTGGAGTACTATGGGCATTCACAGCACACTGGTTGTATTTACCCTTCCGTACATGACCGCCCCTTGCCGTCTGGCTTTTTCCTATTTAACAGCGACTCAGCACGGACTTTAGGGTAACAACCAGGGTGAACCCTATCAATCCAGGGGCAACGTCAGCCAGCAAAGAACCGCAAAAACAAGCCCAGGTGCGACCGTGACATAAACAACCATCAAGGTTAACTCCAGGACGGACTGAGCGCATACGTAATTTTCATCATCTCCAGGAGGGCAGGTTGAAAGACAAATTCAATACGATAGCATTCCCTGAATGCCTTCCTGCAAGAATTCTTAATGGTCAGGTTTCAGACCACTTTACCTCGTGTAGTTGTATGGATTGCTTGGTGAACCAGGCAGTAGTGAAAAATTAATCAATGTTTCTCAAAGATCAAAAGGCTACTTTGAAGAATAATCTTGAAATCTTAAAGAAATTCAATTAAACCTTAGTCAAATGAAAAACTTCAATTAAAATTGATAAGTCGGTTTATTTTTATTATTCACTTAATATTTTAACCAAACAAGAAAAGGAAAAAACAGATTCTATAGATGATAACATCAAATTGAATTTGGTTTGCAAACTAAAAGACTTTTGGAATACGGTAAAATAATTAGTAAATTCAACAGCAGAGAGTTCTCCACTCAGAAATGGGGTTAAAACTTAAATCCCCAAAGTGCATAATTGATTTGCATTTAGTCGTCATTATACTGTGATAAAATTATAAAAATACCCTTCCTAGAATGAATATACAATATATTCAGCATTTGTTTTCTTTGACATTTATTCATGTTGTCTACAAAATAATAAATTGATTTCATAACAACTTCTTTAACTGTTCACAAAATAGAAAACACTTGTACTCCCTTGAGTAACTGTAACCTTTCCAGAGGTCGGTAAGTTTTCACTTGAAATGTGCATGCAGTGGTACACAGCACATGGCAAAGAAAAAAAATCCCCCATAACAATTGCAAGTGTTGACATGAAGAGAAACAAAACTTACTCTCTGATGGATGCAGCCATCTTACTGGCGCTGATGACACCCTGAATGCCTTGTATGGTATGTGGAATGCTATGCCCCAGCAACACATCAACATGGACTTTGCTCAAGCCCACAGCACACATATTGGAAACAATGTCACACACACACTGGACTGGATGACCTTTTAAATAATTACTCTGTTGTGGTGAGCCTGGTATAAACCACAGACCTCAATGCCTGGTTCTCACAGAAATATGACAACCAAATTCCATAACTTCCCAGGTCTAAAATTTGACAAATTTTTTGGGACCCTTAATGTAATTTTGCAGAGAAAAGTCATTCAGTATTTAAGAACTGGAAGACTTCTGTAGCAACTACTGCAAACAAGGATACAGCCTGTAAATTTAGCATTTTTATTATTAGATAAAATGTGGCCAATCAAAAACAGCCTGTGCAAGGCTTACATGATCTTGATTTCCACGATTTTCCATGACTTTTCCATACTTGTTATCCTCTGACAATAGGATTCAAGAGCATCCTGTATTTTCCCATTTTTCCATGACTTTCTAGGACAGCATTTCTCCCAGAATTTTTCGGGATTTCACAAAATGCAGTATGGCACTGTCAAAAAATGGTATTTATAAAACTGTTCACAGTTCATTATGATACGAGTAGCACTTTGGATTATTGGCAAGATCACATGTTCATGTACATGCGAGAATAATTTAATGCGATTCCCCAACCTTTGTAGTGCCATGCTCACGTCCTTGGAAATTTTCAGGTGAAATGTCTGGAATTCTCATGTATTCCATGTAATCACTTTCCCTTCACAGATTTTCTTAAAGCTCACCCCAAAGTACAAGGAGATTTTGTGCCCAATCAAACAGAATGTTATGGCACTGTAAAGTATGGGTAGGTTTAATGGACAGAAATTAATAGTCAATGTAACTCATGAAAAAAGATGAATAGCGCATGTATAATAAAAAAAACCCAAAAAACTTTACTGACATCAAACTGCCTCATACACGTACATTCGAAAATGATAATCATTACAGATAAAATCTGCCTGTATGGATAACGTTCACCTTGACTGCAAAACTGACGATTAAAGTAATGACGATTTGCCAGTGAAACTGGGGAAATCTGTCGGCTTATCCCAGCCTTCACTGAGACAAGTGCTCGTGACTAAAGTGAGCGACTCAGTTCCTGCCATACACCTGAACTACATGAGTTGAGTTCCTCAAGCTTTCAATCCAAACATGTGCACTGTTTTGATCGATTCAAAATTGCAACACAGTTATAATAATTTCAGAAACCAGCCTACGCTTGTGGTTGGTTAAGTTATTACAAACTGAACTGAACATGCCATTTTGTGTAGGAAAAAGGGATTAGGAAAGCTTGAAGAAAGAAGATTGCAAGAGTTAAGGTTAAAACACTCAGAGAAAAGGGGGTCCGATGCAAAGACAGATCTGCATGTATATAAATGTAGATTTCTATGAGCCCAAGGATCATTGACTGTTGTCAGGGTGATGCAAATTTGTGTAATTAAAGTGTTTTACTCCATATCAACCTTATTGTGCATGGCATTTTCTTCTACAAAACAGGACAGTGCATACTTCAAGGTAAGCACAAAAGCACAATAGCACAAAAGCCCAGCACTACCAGACTCCCGCGTGTGATAACGTAAGCATTTAACAAATGGGCTTATTTTTTTTTCCACTTTAATAGGGTCGATGGGACAAGGGCATGCTTTCAGTTTATGAAACCAAACCACAACAATAAACAAAAAAATAATAAACGCAAGGTCTTCAGATGGAGAGAGTGGAAAGCTGTTTCAATTATGGTTATGGCTGAGGTTGTTTTTTATAGTTGCTTTGGGCATGCTTCGAAAAACAACCACGGAAACATTGTCCAAACGTAATAATAAAATCTTGATACAAATTGTTTGCTAGCAATTGTGAGGGTTGTCGACCATTCAATGTACATTCCTACAAAAAACTGTGTCAGGAATTCCTGAAACTTGAGGTGACAAACAAGAAGACTGACACCTTCAAACGGCTGTCCATTAGGGGTCCATTAGGGTGTTCACACTGAAGGCAGACGTCCGTCCCTGCTTCGGCCCACATTCTTGGAGTTTGCTCACCCCATGGTCTGGAGCCAAGGGCCTGATGTTTTGATGCCCCTGTTCACACAGCTCTATGGGACCAGGGGGCCGGGGCATAGGGTTTCAATCAGGAACTGACTTACAGTCAGCAGGACTGGATGTGCTTGCTCCCAGCTTCTCTCTGCCTTATTATTGACTAGAAGCACTTCTACCAAATATGGGCCTGAACTATTGTTCACATGCTGTCCTACTGAGCGAACTCAATGAGGCTGGCACTTGTGGGAAATGCTTTTTACAATTTTGGTATTAAAGTCATCCGAGAATTTCTCTAAAATTTCCAGGAACAACATATAAAATTCTGAAATCCTGTCTTAAAATTTGATTGCTTAAATATTAGAGCATCTTACTGTAGGTTTCTACTTTTGTAGCTTTGAACAGGAACATTATAAAACCTTGATGATGTACTGGTTCACAATCATCCCTTTAACATGGGAAAAGAAAAATCCTGTGCCACCAAACTGCAATGTTTTCAAAATAGCTTCCACACAAAAACAATGCAATGACAAACTCAATGTCAAATATAGTTTTTTCCACATCAGTTTACATGTGGTTCATAATAATGATGTATGTTAAGATATTAACAGAAAAAAACAAGAAAGCTCAGAGGAGAAAAAACTATTCATTGATGGCTCTGCAAACACCCTAACCTAAATTTAAACAACAGCTGCTTTGAAGCTGAACATAATTTCTCATCAATCTAACGATTAAGTGCACAAAATACA